TGAGATTGTAGTCCACCACAGGAGTGAGCTTGGAGCGGTGACTACTTTACAACACACACAGGAAACATGGGGAACCAAAGTACCCACCCTTCAGAAGGAAGGACAGTGTCAGCACCAATTCAGAGATGGTTTGAGGATCTACAGCCGAGTGCTACACAAATAAGATACATTTTTAGTAATAGTTAAAAAAAAAGGTACCTGAATGCATTTCTAAGATTTTACTTCTGAGATTAGTCTCACTTTAAGAAGAAATGCTATGGGTCAAAGAGGACACAAAGCTGTACCTCCTGGGCATGGGATAGTACCATGAAATCCTGCTTACGATGACAACTCCCACAAATACAACATTTGCATTCATTGTTAAATGTGACCATGTGAATCAATTAACTTAGCTAGTGATATCGGAAATCCCTCAAAGTCTCGAGATCAAGTCATATGACTCTACAATTGTTTTAGTTATGGTTTGCATTTTCCATTAAGAATGTGATCTGCTGGGCCATTACTGTAAATCATGAAAATGTTGAAGCCAACACCACTCGGAGTAATAATTAACTTACTGATAGCTTTGTGCTAGAGAATGTTGTCAGGTTTTTCTTCATGAAGAGCATTAACATTGTATGTTGAAGACTAAAATGTAATAATGGAGTAGAAATAAGTACAGGGCAAACATGACCATCTAAAAACAATATCAATACTAGCCCTGAAGCACGTAAGTTGTGACATCCTTGGAGGTCATACTACGTCATTCTACTGCCTAGCAGAACACATTCACACCAGCTCTCCTTGTTTCCACCAATGTATATCTGTCAACAAGGCACATTTGTTTTTAACATTGTAGGCTTTTTCTGTGGCAATTTCTATGCGTGGCCTCAAGTTGACCAAAGTCCATTATTGGGGTGACTGGTCAGATTAGGAGAGCTGTTCTGATAGGGGCAGCTCCCCTTCTGATAAGCCACTGCCAGAACTTTGCTCCCTTCCACCACTATACAAGCCATTTGTAAGCTGGGCCAAGCCATGCACACACGTTAATACAGTGCCCTGTCAGGAAGGTGGAAGTCTATGGACAACTTTGCCAACAACTTCTCCCTCAGTGGTGTTTTACAGGAAATGTCTAATGCAGTGGTGTTCTACTTACTGGATTTACTGGGCCTCGAACAACACTAAGGGCTTGCGCACACCACTGTCAGTGCGTTCCAGTGCGGTTAGCTGCTGTAATGCACAGTATTGCACACTAAACTACCCCCTGCGTTCTACGGCGGGAGGGGGTCGTGACAGCACATTTAAGTCAATGACCCCGCAGCCACTCAGTATGCATGCACTATTTTTTGTGATCGCACACGTGTTCTGGTGCGACCAATCGCACTTCGGGCGGGGCCATTAACTTCAATGCACCGCCACGCCCCCTCCCACCCCAGAAGGCAGGGGGACTTAGTATGCAATACAGTGCATTTCAGCTGCTAATTGCGTTGGGACGCATGGTCAGTGGGGTAAACAAGCCCCGAAAGGGCACACAGTGAATGTAATGCTTTAGAAGGCTGCCATATTGAAAACCTGCACCAGGAGATGGTCAGAGACTACAGCTTTGCTACAGGAGCTATTAGAGTTTGAGAAGATATTCTGGGAGACAGTCATAGACGGCAAATACATTACATGAGACTGCTAGACATCACTTATATTATATAACCTATTTATAAGTCAACCCTTCCACGTTTGTGCTGCTACAACCCTTTAAAAATCACTTGTGCCACATTTCAGATTTTTCTCCTCAACATCTATTCTAATGCCAGAAAAAGCACTGCATCTGTGGGCATTATTACTATTTTAATGCTCCTCAACCGCTGTATTTTAGCCAGCGTGTCTATATCCATATTTTAATGGCGTGTAAAAATAAAAATGTCCCAAACTTACATTCGGAGGGAGCTTACTAGCATAATTGACTTGTGAAGGCACATACATACATTCTAGTGGCTACAATAAATGCATATTCTACCCAATAGAATTTGTTTATGTGCCTATGCCTCTAAAAGCGTACAACACCACACTAAAATGCCAATTTTGTACCCTGGATTTGTCTGCAAGCTTCTGGCATAAAGATCCAGCGTAGATATGAGTATTTTAATACACCTGTGTACATGAGCACTAATAGATCAGAGGTATAAACAAAACAAAAAATAGATGGACAGCACAGAAAAAAGGAAGATAGAGTGACAGAAATAATCCAAACCATTGAACTACTAGAAGTAACGAAGTTGAAGTGACACTAAGGGCCCATTCACACCAATTGCGGTGCATTTAAGAGTGATAGCTGCTATGATATCATGAATAGACTACTTTAACGTTACACTGAACTTGGGAGTTAAAGTGACATTAAAGTCAAAAACCCCCCCCCCCCCCAATGTTAGTGTAAGCACTTACCTTAAATGACGTCTCTTAATCCGATCTTCTTTCCTGTCCTCTTCAGCCTTCTCTCCAGCGCTGCTGCGGCTCTCCGATCCAGCACTGACTCCTCTGTCCTCGCTGGCACTTCCTGTCCCACAGTGTCTGCATGCGGGTGCACGCGTCCATAGACTTACCTTGTGTCTCTCCACGTCTCCCGGACGAAAATCCGAACTGCTCATGCGCCCGCCCCAAGATGCTTTGCGGCCGCCTGAGCATTTCCGGACGGGAGCGCGTGGGGAAGACAGGGTAAGTTTAAACCACTTTAAAAAAAAAAACTTTTTGCATACATCTACTGCTTGCTAGCAGTAGATATATGCAAAAAAACATGGGGGTTTAGAAACCCTTTAAATCTTAAAAATACAGTCAAGTACCCTTACTATTAACAAAAATGTATCTTATTTGTGTATCACTCAGCTGTAGATCCTCAAATCATCTCTGAATTGGTGCGGACACTGTCCTTCCTTCTGGAGGGTGACTACTTTTATTCCCCATGGTCCCTGTGTGTGTTGTAAAGTAGTCACCACTCCAAGCTCACTCCCATGATGGACTACAATCTCATGTTTAGTTTACTAATTTGTATTGAGATTCTAGTCCATCATGTTAGTGAGCTTGGAACAGTGGGTACTTTACTATACACACAGGGACCATGGAAAATAAAAGTAGTCACCCTCCAGAAGGAAGGACAGTGGCAGCACCAATTCAGAGATGATTTTAGGATCTACAGCCGAGTGATACACAAATAATATACATTTTTGTTCATAGTGAAGGTACTTGAATGCATTTTTTACATTTTTAACTCCTGAGTTTAGTATCACTGTTTTTTCTCTACTGGCTTAAGTAAGACCCAAAACAGTCCTTTGTCTGCAGGGGCCTAAGGGCTGCATAGTAAGTACCAAAGGTGTTGGGCATCAGGGGCCTAATGTATAAGGGGACATTTACATGAGAAGTAAAGCTCAGCTCACATACATAAGTTGAATGGACTGGAGCATGTTAGTTGAGGAGCCAGAACTTACACACAGTAGACACTCTTCCTCTCCGTGCCCAGAGGGGAGAATAGCAAGCTGAATTCCAGCAATGGCCGGATCTAATTGGTAAAAGGCATGGGCTAAAGAGCTCTCTACACACAAATGAAACCTAATAGAATTAAGGCGGATGGGGGGAAATGGAATCATTGCAGCAGTTGATTGACCCGACAGGAATAGGACATATTGTGAACGGCAATAAATGCGAAGAGAAACACGCAGCGGAACATTGTCATAGCACGGCTGAAAACATTGGGGAATTCTCTTTAGGAAACTTCGCTCTTCTGCCTGATATTTACACACAAATTTGTTTCAGCACATCATACACAGCTCTGTATTCAAAGTCAGCTCTATACACTCAGGGTGGGCGGGTGTGTGTGTATATATACATACATACACACAGCTTTTAGATCCATACAGGGCGTTTTTATGCTTCTGAACGCAGCCCTATAAACAGACTGGGGGGAATTCATCAAACTGGAGCAGTTGCCCACGGCAACCAGCTTCTCTCTTCAGTTTGAGTTAAAGTTTGAAAATGAGAGATGGAAGCTGATTGGTTGCCACGGGCAACTGCTAGTTTTCATAAATTTCCCTGCACATTGTGGCATTTATATGCATTATCTAGAGCAGCGGTCAGGAATGAAACGAGAAAAAAAAACGCCCCAAAACTGTTATTGAAGAGGAGCGTACGTGCACGTACATGCGTCCACACACACAGATGCATTCTAGCGGCTAGAATGAATATCCAAGGTACTATAACAGGGGTGTACCTGTAAAAAATAAATCAAGGCAACTGGACTTGCTGTATTTCCTTGAAGACGTTTCGCTGGTCATCCGAATTCTGAATTGAGAAAGCTGGTCGGATGACCAGCGAAACATCTTCAAGAACATACAGCAAGTCCAGCTGCCTTGATTTAGTTTCTTTTACAGATACACCATGACCTGGATGAATGAGAACCTTCACAGATATAACAGGGGTAAGCAACCCCATCCCATGAGGCATTGCAAGACTAACAGTGATAGACATGACCTCCAAGAGCCAGAGGCATTATGGGCTTTGTAGTTGCACCCCAGCTGCATTGCTGAGGTCCCCTACCCCTACACTATAATGAATTTATATGCATACACTTCTAAACGTTAGTACTTTACATGCCATTATATGCATTTCTCACATTGGATCGCAGTGCCAACTAGATGCAGTGTAGATATGAGCATTTTGTGCATGAGCCCCAAAGGAAATAATAGTTTTATCCCTGGAAATCGGGGATCTTTGTACCCATGCTAGAAGCCATGAGGACATGGAAGGTGACAACAAGGATAATGATAGAGTACAGCGTCACGAGTGTTCATCCCGGATCCATGCAGCGGGAAGACCAGCCATGAATGAACTCATCGCACCGCCTGCTATGGCAGAACGCATGTGACTCCACAACGTGCGCTGTGACACCGAACGCTGCAACAACACACACACGATGATGCAATTAGCGCTATTACTTATTTAGCGGCTGCTCGCATGCCCAGCCCGTCCCCTGCACCCACCTGGTCTCCTGGTTGCTGAACTTCTTCGTGACCACCTTGCCCAGCTCCAGCCCGAGCCGGTCTGCCACTTTCTGGGAAAGGTCCTGGTGAGAGCTACCGCTGAAGAGCACGATATTGGGCATGGCGACTGGCAGCGATGTAGACACTGGAGAGAAATAAGCTGCCTGTACGGACCTAAAGCAGAAGGGAAGAAAGAAAGGGCACAAAGCGCGCTCTGGGTAGATGGTGATAATAGTAATGTCCTTTCTTCCCTTCTGCTATCAGGGTGCACGGTTCAGTGTCATGTGGCTGCTGTGGAAGCACCAAGCGGGAGGGGGGGGCGAAGGAAGTGATGGCACAGTGTATGCAGGTCACGGAGATCCCGCCCCTCTGAGGTAGAGTCCCCGCCCCCCCAGCTGTACCGTCACATCTCTTCAGCCGCACATTCTCATCTGCCCAGTCTCCGCCCCCCCAACAGTTAGACTCCTCCTCCCTCACACAGTCTCTTTCCCTCTTACAGTTTCCTCCCCCCAGCCGCACACTCTCCTCCCCTAACGCACATAGTCTCCTCCCTTTTGCCACACATCGTCACCTTCCTGGTCCTATCCGTCTAGACTGGTGGCTGCCAGCAGACTCATGAATGGGAGGGAGGGGAATGTTCGGCTTGTGTGCGCTGTGTTTGCTATCATCACCATCACTTCCAGGCACACATACGCGGCACGGGCGCTTTATTCGTTCCTTCTCTGTGTGATCAATGAACTGTCCATGAGATGCCTTGGTGTTATAATTTATAATATGATTTGCTATAGTATTGAAAGGTATTTCTGTACTGTAGAGTCTAAGGACGTGAGTGCTTGTTGGGAGCGTGAATCTAGCACGTGGTAGACATATTACCATACCAGTTCTTATTTTACATGTCTATAGCTGCAGTCACCAACGCTCATTGTTTGCTTGGAAGCCTGTGCTGAGAGTAGATTGTAGGCTGCCACTTGCTGATCTCATGTAAGTGCTAGTTGATTCAGGGCCAGTTCACAGCATCTCCAGTGCGTTCATGCACTATGTTTTGCGATCGCATTGAACCGTAACGCAGGCATTGCTGCTGGCAGGGAGGGCGTATCTGTGGTGCCATTGACTTGAATGGCACCACCATGCCCTAGAATGCAGGGAGGCTTCCACTCTGCATTCCAGTGCAATATGGCCACTAACTGCCGGAACGCACTGGAGATGGTGTCAACCGGCCCTCAAGCAGAGGAGATCCTTTCTTGGAGGTGGAAATTTTGCTTGTGGAGGGAGGTTTTTACTTGGGGAATTTTTACTGACAGGAAAGAAGTGGAATTTTTGCTGCTGCACTCGATACACTGGACCATATATTTCATACTCCTGACCTTTGCACTTTGTGTGCTACATACTCCTGACCCCTGTATTCTGCGCATTACATACTCCTGACCCATGTACTCTGTACATTACATACTCTTGACCCATACACTTTGTACATTACTTCTGACCCCTGCACGCTGCACACTTATCTGTACATTACATATTCCTGACCCCTGCACTTTGTACAATACTTCTGACCCCTGCACTTTGTATGTTACTTACTCCTGACCCCTGCATTCTCTACATTGGCATTGTTTTCTCCCATTGGCCATTAAAGCTAGGCATATTTTCCTCTCACTGATGCCCATTGACACTGGGGCAGATTTTTCTTTCACTGACGCCAGGGCCTTTTATTGACCACTGCACTCTGTATATTATGTTGCACATATCTTAGTCCTGACTCCTACACTCTATATCCGGGGTAAGCATCCTTGGCACTCCAGCTGTGCTGAAACTACAAATACAACCATGCCTCTGGGAGTCATGCCTGTGTCAATCTTGCAATGCCTCATGGGACTTGTAGTTCCACAACAGCTGGAGTGTCAAGGTTGCCGGCCCCTGCTCTATATGCTGTGTAGTACACTATATGCTTCCTAAACCTGACCCTTTCCCCTTCATATACCGTAATATGTTATATGGTATATAGTCCTGGTTAAAGTGTTTATTGTCTCAACAGTTGCTGTGTAGCATCCAACAATTTGTACACAAAAATGTACTGTGCTGTGTAGCATCCAAGACTTTGTACACAAAAATGTACTGTGCTGTGTAGCATCCAACAATTTGTACACAAAAATGTACTGTGCTGTGTAGCATCCAAGACTTTGTACACAAAAATGTACTGTGCTGTGTAGCATCCAACAATTTGTACACAAAAATGTACTGTGCTGTGTAGCATCCAAGACTTTGTACACAAAAATGTACTGTGCTGTGTAGCATCCAACAGTTTGGAATCTACGTTTTTTTTTTTAATTATCAGTTAAATCTGAACTCCAACCATAAAAAGTTTTGCAGTCTCTATTGTTTTTTGCTGTGATTTTGAGTCATTTTGAGACTGATTCTACTATTCTAATCCTAATCTAAGCTTTTGTGGCTTGGAAGTGGAGAGGTGACACATGCAACACAGGAGATATTGGGTACATCCAATTCTGCAGAATCCAGAGGCCAGTTTTGGGTGCTTTATGAGAATCTGAGAGTGTATTCAGAGAAGGTTCAAAATTACACCTGGATTCTGTGTAAAACGTACATTTCCCTATTTCATGAGTTGGGGGGTATAATAGGTCTGTCCTGCAAGGTCACCATAGGTCTGAGCTGTTGGGCTACTATAGGTCTGATTTGGGGGGCCACTAGAGATCTGAGCTCCCAGGGCACCATAGGTTCTAGCTCCTGGGCTACCATAGGATACAGCATAGGTCTGAGTTGAAGGGACATGGGGCTTTGATGGTGGTTCTTTACGTTGAAAGGACAAAATAACCTACAGTATCTGAAATGTAATATCAGAAAGTAGCTGTGGATCAACCTTTTCTGTCTGAGGGATTATACTTTTTGCAAAGAGTGTTTATGTGTTGCCATAAGCTTTTTACATCCAGAAATTTTACATGATTCCTCTTTGTAGGGGCAGTAGACATGATGAGGCTTTCATGCTGAGCCACTCTTTGATCGGTTTTGGTACTTTATTTACTCTCTGAATCATCTTTTTTTTGTTATACATCATTTCTTTAAGGCTGTTACTGAATTGAGAAAATGTGCTTCATTATTTCAGATACTTCTACTGGAAATTTCTACAGCTCCCTGTGTTTTGATTTAGTTTTGCTGATAGCATTGTTTGAGATTTAGCCCCCATTCACACCTCTGCATTGCGACATTCCAGAGGTTCTACAGGGTGCAGTTGTGGTGTGCTGAGGTAGATCACTAAATCACACTGATAGATATGTGCATCTTTTATTAAATCACATTGCATGGTAGGTTACTGTGCATTGTCGTGCAATGCACATGCAATGGGTAGGTGCTTTGTGGTGCAAAAAAGCACCTAACATTGCAGCATGTGATGGGGATTGCAACGTTCTTCCACGTTGCATAGATGTGGACAAAGGCTTTAATTCAGTCCACAGGAAGTTACGGATACAACATTGCTGACAAGATCAACAGGTATTTTTCTCTAAAACTAAGGGGTCTATTCACTAAGCTGCCGTAGGCAGCCAAGTGAATAACTGACCCGAAGTGAAGTAAGCCGAACGCTGTTCGGCTATTCACTTCAGGGTTGTACAGCTGATTTCAGCCGTACACCGACTAAAATCAGCCGTACATCGGCTGGCTCCGGATCAGCCAAACATGCTAAGCATGTTTGGCTGACCCAAAGTGCAGAAGGAGTTTGACTCAGCCAATCCAACATCTGGATCGGCCGACCCGAACCTCCGGCAGGCTGCTAGCTGCTGTTCGGCCTATTCTCATAGATGCCGAACAGCAGTGAGTGAATAGCCGAATGCCACCGAGCGGCATTCGGCTCGGCTATTCTGCCCAGTACCTCTGTGTTACAGTGCAGAATAGAAAAACAGTAAAAAAATTAAATAGAAAACGATTGGGCGGAGCTAGCAGTGACAGCTAGCTCCGCCCAACTGTTTTCTATTGGCTGGGCGGTTCTGCTGCCGTCAGAATAAAAAAAAAAAAAACCACCATAGGAATGCATAGCTAGATTCCTATTGGCTTTTTCACTTTGCAATATTCAATCACCAGACAGGGACCTGATGGAGAACTGCAGGTCCCCCTCTGCTGATTGACAGCAGCAGTGGGCGGGTGCAATAGCTAGTTTGCTATTGGCTATTGCAAAGTGAAAAAGCCAATAGGAAGAAGGATGTCAGATAGCCATCAGCCTTTCTATTCCAAGTCAGTATTTACATATGAGATGCCCTGGTTTTAGAAGGTCTGGGCACCTTAGAACATGTTCAGGAATTGTGAGGTTCCGGTTTTACATTTTGTGTTGCAAGCTTACAAATTTTTAGAAAGTTTTTTTTAAAAGTTCAGGAACTAAAGCAGGATTCTTATCTGTGTGTACCTAAAAAGAAAAGCAGAATTGAGAGTTTTCTCTTTGTTGAAATTTCATGAGCGTTCATAAAAATTATCTATTTGAAGAGTAGTCAATAGGAAAATCTATAATAAGGTTATATATGAGCTTTAAATGGATCCTGAGGGTTGGGGGAACACCTTTCAACTATCCTGCACCTGTTCTCGTTCCAAACAAATGTCTCCTCGCTCATTGGGAAAATTATGTTAGATATTGTGATGAACATGGTTTATTGTCAAGATTGTCCATTTGTTACCCATGTATTGTAATTATTGCCCATTTGATACCTACGTATTGTGAAATTTGGCCATTTATTGCCTTCTTTTTGTAGCATCTGCATATTGTCACAATTGCCTTTTTGTCTCTGCATATTGTTATATTGGACAATTTGTTGGTCAGTAGTTATTGCTTGTTTGTTGCCCATGTATTGTCATGATTGTAGTTATTGGTTGTTTGTTGCCCATGTGTTTTGATTGTAGTTATTGGTTGTTTGTTGCCCATATATTGTCATGATTGTCTGTTTCTTGCCCAGGTATTTTTACAATTAACATTTTCTTGCCTAACTTCTGTAAAGATGGCTCATTTTCTGCCTGAGTATGTTACAGTTGCCCGATTCTTGCCTGTATAGTGTCACAATTGCCTGTTTGTTGCCCACATACAGTCATAATTACCAATTTTTTTACCCATTTGTGGGAAATTCACAATTCCCCTGTTTATAGTAGACATATTCTAAGATGTGCCTAATGCTGCTACTTTATAGAACTATACTACCGGTACTATAATTAATTCTCTGAATGCCTGTCACTATAAAAGTACACCGCTATATTGCCAGTGGTTTGCAGCAGTACTATTATGTACTGGTATTACATCTTTGGATTTGCTGCAGCATGCTACCTGTGCTACTGGTATTATCAAACTG